TTTCCGGGCTGCTTTGGCAGCCTGGGGGTTGGAAGATCTCTGGACTTGAAGTGTTAATTCTTGCCTGTGACTCTTTGAATAAACCAGCACGGTTATATTTTTTATATACTCAAGTGGTCTGAGTCGTCCCTCGGAGTTCCTGGTTTGAAAGAACCGGACGAGGCTTTATAATGGAATAGAGCCTTTATAGGCGAGAGAAGGTTATGAAATTGACGCAGAGGAATAAATTTCATATTTGGAGGACAACATTACTCTCTGGTGAGCCAAAATAACGAGGAAAACGGGTGGAGCAGTGCGTCAGCGTGGCGCGTCTGTAATGGCACAGAAAGTCACAGGTAGATAATTCATTTGAAAATTCAGAGTTGCAGAGAATGGTTTGCACCTAGCTATCAGAACTGGCCATTCCATTAGCATCTATATTGCTCTGCAACGCCCAGCCATCCTGAGCGCCAGAGAATGGTATCTCCTGGCGTCTTCAGTCAGTATTGCCCATTCAATTTGCATCTTCTTTGTCATCTTCCCAGTCCTCTGCTAAAATGTAAATGCAATCATAGCAGCAGAGAATGATTGCATCTGTCTGCATGTCCTTTGCTCATTCTGTAATCACGCAGTTTTTGCAGTCAAAATATGTCTTCAATACTGTTTTCATATTGCGCACTAACTTTGTCCACACACAATAGCATCTACATTGCTCTGCCACATACTACAAAGTAATCACGTAGTTTTTGCAGTCAAAATATGTCTTCAATACTGTTTTCATATTGCGCACTAACTTTGTCCACAGACAATAGCATCTATATTGCTCTGCAACGCCCAGCCATCCTGAGCGCCAGAGAATGGTATCACCTGGCCTCTTCAGTATTGCCCATTCAATTTGCATCCTTTGTCACCTTCACAGCTACAATGAAAAGGCTCGGCCCCCACTAGGTGTTGGCCACAGACAATAAAAGCAGGTCAGCGCGGAGCGTTCTGTCTTTTTGTATTGGACACCGAAAGAAGAAGGATGGCGCGCAAACTCTCTACAGAGATGGCACTCCAGATGATTTTTGATGAAAACAACTCGTCCGAAAATGAAGACATGGAGCAAATTTCAGAAACTGAAGACCACCTGTCCCAAGTTTCTGAAACTTCTAGCGATTTGGGGGATGACGATTTGTTGGATCGAGATTACGATCCAAGTACTGAGATAAGACTTAGATTCCATTGCAATACGCCCTTTGTTCGATAAAAAACGCTGTTTGTTTTAGTTAGATTTTGCTTATTTGTAACTTTTGTTATCATTGCTTTGTTTTCAGAAACCGGCAGGCAGAGGCAGAGTACGCGCCAGTTCAGTTGCCCCTGGAGCGTCACAGCAGGGAGAAGTAAGTAGTAATTTGTGCAATACGCCCTTTGTTCGATAAAAAACGCTGTTTGTTTTAGTTAGATTTTGCTTATTTGTAACTTTTGTTATCATTGCTTTGTTTTCAGCAATCCGCAGGCGGGAAAAGAAAAAGAAAAATAAAGCACATTGATTCTGTGGAGCGCGTGGATGAAAGCGCGGAGCAGCAGGGAAGTGTAAGTTATAAAAATGCAATATACAGTCTGTTTGCTAAAATGTGCTGTGTTTGAGAACTTATTGTCATTGTGATTTATTATTTTGAAACAATTACAGGCTGAGCTGTGTTTGAGAACTTATTGTAATTGTGATTTATTATTTTGAAACAATTACAGGCTGAGCCAGTAACAACGGAGGTCTACATGGCGAGATCCACTGGCATTTCCTGGTCTTCTCACCCCTATAAGCAGCCACCCCGCCTTGCAGCAAATGTCATCAGTATGGAACCAGGGCCAACTAGAATGGCAATCAGCCATGTCAGGGACATCAAATCAGCCTTCAGTGAGGTAATGCCTGATTCCATACTGGACATAATCCTGGACTGCACCAACATTGAAGGTCGGCGGGTTTATGGAGAGCGGTGGAAGATTGTGGACATGATCCTCCTGTACGCCTACCTTGGACTGCTCTACCTGGCAGGAGTCTTCAAGTCCAAAGGAGAGTCTCTCCATTCGCTGTGGTCTGCTGATTATGGAAGGGCCATCTTCAGGGCCACAATGTCGTTGGACAGGTTCCAGGTCATTTCCCGGGTTATCAGGTTTGATAACCTGGAAGACAGGGCAGCTCG